TGTATATATATATATATATATATAAATAAAATGTCCTGGCTCTTCCAAGCTTTATAATGGCAGTGGGTAGTGGTCCAGATTTTGAAGCAAAATAAAGGGCGTCCATCCATCATAAAAGAGTACCACACGGCTCCAGGGGGTTAATAAAGGCCTCCTGAAACTAAGTGATGCGTTTGTGTAAGAAAAATATCCATATTTACAACTTTATAAACCGTAATCTCTAGTTTCTGCTTACTATGATGGATTTTGCTTCAAAATCTGGGCCACTACCCACTGCCATCATGGCCGTACCCAGGCTTTGAAAATTAGTGAGGTCCGAGGGGGGACGGGGTATGGGGGGATGATGGGGGTTGGTGTTAAAGAATTGTGTTATAATAACCCCGACAAATACAACTCATTATATACACTATAAACACTTTAAAGGAGACAGACATGTAGATGTTTGTGAAAGATGTTTTCTCTGTTTTGGAGAATGATTGATTATTTTTAAATCATACCCTATTTATTGCATCAAAATTTGTTAATACTTTACTATATTTAAGGGTGGATAATTTTATCAGTTGTTTTTTGCAACAATACATAACTACAATAACTTTGTCTAGTGCTCTTATGAAAGTTTATAGCATGATTTGTGAAAATTTAACTATACTGAATGACATGGCAATGATGGCATAGACTTCATGGCTAGTTTTTGCGTATTTCATTTCATTCTGTAATCTTGTTCTATAGATCTGTGTGTAGTAGTGTTAAATACTACTGTTTTCGACAGCGTTGATAACGTTTATGATAATATCATGATCATTTTTACGTTTCCTTTACCGAGTGTTGTATCCTGTCAGCAAAAACCTGTCCATGGGCTTTTTTGATTGCTTTCAGTTTAAGTGACGGCGATGCAGTGTTGCCAGATATTGATACTAAAACGAACAAAACTAAAAATAAACCGAAATTATTTCCAATCTTTTGCAAATAAGATAAGATAAAGATATCGCTGACTCTAAACTGCAACTTCCTACTTTATTAACTTTCTAAAGTGTTAAATTAAGTGGAAAAGACAAGTCCAAAAACGCTTAGCTGGATCTGGATCTGCGCCCGCGCCCTCACTCACAACAACTCTCTCAAGCCTCGTTCACTCCGTCAGCTTCTTGCAGCGATCATTTTCATAACAGGGACGCTAAACATTCTTGCAAACTGTCTAAACTGAATTATACAAGTCATGCAGGCATTCATATGAGGAGTTTAACAGCAAGTTGGTCATTCAAAGAACAAATTTTTATTTTTGTACATGAAAAATTTACCAAGGTCCGGACCTCGGTGGCTTCATAGCTGGTTACGGGCCTGACTGCCATTATAAAGCTTGGAAAGATCCAGGACATTTTTTAAAGGGGTCATATGATGCAATTTCAATTTTTCCTTTCTCTTTGGATTGTTACAAGCTCTTGGTGCATAAAGAAGATCTGTAAAGTTGCAAAGACTAAAGTTACAAATTCAAAGAAATATTCTTTATAAAAGTTAAGTCAACCACAACTACCTAAAACAGCTGACACGCCCCCACATATCTACGTCCAACGTGATCTCATGATAATTCGTATGTATTTTACGTAAAATGTGTTCTATAAAATGCACATTTACTTACGTATTTTCAGCCTCTAAGCGTTCAAATACTTACGTATTTTCAGAATTTAAACGTACAAAACTGAGGTATTGATGACACCTAAAAATGAATCCGTATGAATATTGAAATTCAGCATTAGTTTTTAGTTGTCATATGAATTACCTTGTTTTCAATTGCATTATTAAATTGTTTACTCGTTTACTTATGAAATGATAACATTTCGTTTTGTTGTGATTTCTGCTGCCAGCTCGTTTCCAAGATTCTATAAAATGCACATTTACTTACGTATTTTCAGCCTCTAAGCGTTCAAATACTTACGTATTTTCAGAATTTAAACGTACAAAACTGAGGTATTGATGACACCTAAAAATGAATCCATATGAATATTGAAATCGCGGCATTAGTTTTTAGTTGTCATATGAATTACCTTGTTTTCAATTGCATTATTAAATTGTTTACTCGTTTACTTATGAAATGATAACATTTCGTTTTGTTGTGATTTCTGCTGCCAGCTCGTTTCCAAGAATATGCCTACATAATGTTAAACACTTCACTTTAAACCTTAAAATGAATAACATTTCTGCAATCGTTTAACCTTTACTTGTCATGTAATGTTTACTTTCATTGCCATGGGCCACAAAAGGCGTTTTCTCCTACATGCTGTGACTGACAATAGAACTATAAAATACACAAAAAACGTAGCTTAATTACGAAATGAAACAATTTTATTAGTGCGCTGTAATCCAAATCTTCAGAATCCATACGACTGCGAGGAACAGACTCAAATCCATGCCTTTTTTCGGCGATCTTCTTCTCCATCCCGAGCAGCGAGTCCAGTGACCGTAAGCAGCAAAGCCCGCGCTGACTGATGCGCTCTTTACAATTTCAAATGTTGCCGCTTCAAACGACAGGTTTTACGGCAGGATAATCGAACGCTCATTGGCTCTCGTCTGCATTCGTCACAGATTGCGACATGCCGTGTTTCTGATGATGTGTGTTTGAATGGTGCGCCGCGCGTTCCTTCACGAGTTCACGGAGTGGATCGGGAAAATTATCTGGATAATATTTTCAGCGATTAACAACATAAATTCTGCTCTGGATCACACAAACCTACTGTAATCTGCCAGAGAGGAATGTGGGTGCAACGCATCATTATTTGTATTACATTTTGGTACTGCTTTTGACAGTTTTGCAATAAATGTTTGTAATTGCATTTATCTGTCTGTCATGTTTTTCTTATACTGTACAGAATTTTTTAGGTTTCTAGGTAGGAGTGGAATTAGCGACTATAAAAATATTTTAACGCTACATTGTTACTAAAATTGTTATTTTCCTGCATATTTCGGTCATTTGCGTTTTATATCCTTTTATATTCGTATAAAATGGGTAGGTTAAGGGGTCTAAAAATCTAAATTGCGTATTAATAAAATGATAAAAATGCATATTCGCTATAAAAATGGGTAGGTTAAGGTTTGGGGCTAGGTTAAGGGGTCTAAAAAATCTAAATCGCTTAGTGATAAAATGATAAAAATGCATTGATACAAATATCTTAATGATATAAAAGATACGTAAATATTTGTAAGTTTTTTAGCTAAAAATACGCAGTGATTTGTATGTTTTAAACGTTGAAATACATCTAAATTGTACGTTTTAGCATTAATAAAAACGTACAAAAGTGTACATTTTGTGCTTGTAAATATTACGTATTAATACCTACGCATAAACATGAGACCAGGCTGCTACGTCACGATGTGGGAAGATTTGCATAACGCCGCCCAAATGTTCACGCAAAGAAAGAAGGCATAACTTTTATTCTCGCTGTATTGTTGTTGCCGCCGCCGTCATGTCGTGAAGGCGCTGTGTGTTTCGTTGTGAAATCTAAACTACTTTGGTTGGCCTTCCAAAAGAGGATGATATCGCTTCGTCATGCCGAGAGCTGATCCGTGCTGGTCGCTGAGGAAATACATCAACTTTGCACTGTGGATCGCCGGATCGGCTTTCACCACTGACGAAGCGGACTCCAGCCCGGGGTCGTCACATGTGGTTGCCGCAAGCCCGCCTGACGCTCCTTCGTCGAATCCGCCGACCGCGCCGTTCTCAAGCCCGCCGCCTCTCACTCTAGGCATCCGGCCTCCACTCACTCTAGCCCGCCGTGTGTTTCGTTGTGAAAGCGAAACTACTTTGTTTGGTCTTCCAAAAGAGGACACGACTAGAAATCAGTGGTTAAGTTGTATTTACAACACTGTTCCAGAACAGTTCAACCCAAATATTCAGATGTGTCCAGCGCATTTTATGGAGGACTGTTTCCTGATCCTGGGAGAGTAGACTACAATGCTGGCAGTTCTGACTCACAGACTGTAAGTACGTTTTTTTATATTTAAAGAATTTGCCACTGACGATTCAAACTCGAGTTTTGAGCAGTGTAGAGTAGCGCTTGTTGTTTGTCATTTCTCCGATCACAAATGCAGACGTGGTTTTATGTTTACGCGGCGCGATGCAACACAACGCATAAAAAGACAGTATAAGTCATTATAATCCGTAATTATGTCCCCACTGGATGCAACAAATGCCTCGTTTATAATGGGTTTTAATGTTTTTGTCTCGTCGCTCCGGCCGGACAGGGCATCACAGTATGGTGAGGGGCGTAACATTTCCATCACACGCTTGAGGTATTCGGCCAATCACAACGCACTCGATAGCTGGCCAATCAGAGCACACCTCGCTTTTCAGACCGATGAGCTTTGTAAAAATCGACACGTTTCAGAAAGGCGGGGCATAGAGGAGAAACAATAATGTACAGTATGTGGAAAATAATGTGTTTTTTGAACCTTAAACACATTTCAGTACACCAAATAATGTTCCTTTTAGCATCATCATACGACCCCTTTAAAGTGAGGCCAAGGAAGCTCAGAATTTGTGCTCTTCATTTAACCCATTCAAGTACACACAAACACACATCGAGCAGTGGGCAGTCATTTTTGCTGCGGCGCCTAGGGAGCAGTTGGGGGATTTCTCAAGGGTTTTACCTCAGTTGTGGTATTGAAGGCGGAAGAGAGCGCTGGTCATTCACTCCCCCCACCTACAATCCCTGCCGGTACTGAGACTCGAACCCATGACCTTTGGGTTACAAGTCCGATTCTCTAACCAAATAACTCCGTTTGTATTTGTCTGAAAGAAGAAAGTCATATACACCTAGGATGGCTTGAGGGTGAGCAAATCATGGGGTAATTTTCATTTTTTGGGTGAACTATTCCTTCAAGCTTGCCATAAATCACATGAATCTGGTTTATGATGAGACAAACTTTCTCCATCATTCTGTGTGCCAGCTCAAGAGCCTACATGATACATAGTCACACAAGTAATGTCAAGTGAACTTCTACAGATATGATATCCCCCTTGGCAGCTGTGAATAATGTGTGACAGATTGTAAATCAAAAAGCTGCCACTGCAGTGTGGGCTATGGTATTTCAACAGAACACAAACATTAGGTGGCGCGATTGCTCCCACCGTTGCACAAAAGAAGAAGAAGAAGAAGAGGAAAAAGAAGTTGTTTTCAGTAAATTGTTCAAAATATGAATTACGGAGGATGGATATGATAAATGACATGGAAAAAATAGGACTAACAGGACGTGGAGTAAAGAATATAATGGACTGCAGTAGGAATGAACAAGGAATTAAATATTTGATTTGCTTTCTGACTAAAACGGGACTCATGACAAGAATATGATGACTAAAGTACAGTATATGGGAAATAACTAGTACCAGAAGATGGCAGTAATGCAACGTTAAGGATGCAAGCTGCCGTTAAAACCCAAAGAAGAAGAAGAAGTTGTTTTCAGTGTTTGCTTTCAGTTTTCAATCATGACAAGTCCATCACAATGATGCAGACACATCAGCGTTTGTGGATCATATTACCATGTTTTATTGCATTATTGGCTGTGACCATTACATGTGGTGAGTGTGTAGAACAAGTTCTTTGATTCCAAAATACGCAGATATTATTTGATTATTGGTTGCTTTGTGCGTAACAAACAATGTAAAAAAGTAACATTATAAGCATGTTTTATAGACATTCATCATGGTATCATTTCAAGTGCCTTGAAGTAGGCAACCAAATAGCACAGTATGTACCATCAGAAGTGCACAGTACTTCCTGGTGAGGAGCATAGACTGCAAAAAAAAAAAGAGGAGCTGCCAGAATAGCGAAAATCTGGCTTTTTTTGACTACATCTAAATTGTATAAATGATTATATATTGTTTACATTTTAATTATAAAATCATTGAGTATATTTACATATTTTTAAAGTACGTTTTTACATTTTTAAATTGAAGAAGATGAGGCCCAATATTTGATCCGTTGTTAGATGTGTTATTGGCGCCCACTACCGTTCAACCGCTGTCAATGCTGTTGTGTTTTGTGTAACAGATCCTGCGGCCTCACTTTTGCTCCTGTGTCTCTGCTGTATGGCTCTTCTATGGAAGATAAAGATCAAGAATCGCTCCATATCGAGTCTTTTGGCTCAGTATGTGGCTGTGAAAGCAGTGGGCTGGCTGGGGAGTCGCCAGAGAAACAGACTAGAGTCAGACACACGGGACATTCATCGTGTTCAGGAGGAAACTCTGCTCCAGCGTCTGCAGAAACACTCCGACACCGTTTACGGCAAGAACTACGAGTTCAGATCAATTAAAGGTGATTGATTTGAACGATTTTATATATATATATATATATATATATATATATATATATATATATATATATATATATATATATATATATTCCCCATAGGTTTTTAACATTCTAAAATCTCTTTATTCCAAATATACTACAAGCTAGTCCGTGTATTCAGCAGGAGTAATGTATTCTAAGTTGCTTCAGAAGTATTGCAAGTACTACTACGTACAACAATAAAACAGTGCATTGACATAAAAAAGGAAATTTACTTTTGGTACTTAAGTACTTTTAAAAGCAAGTACTTCTGTACTTGTACTTAAGTAAAAATCTGTCTTTACAACATTTACTTGTAATGGAATAATGTTTGACCAGCAGTATCTGTACTTTCACTCAAGTAATAGAGTTGAGTACTTTGTCCGCCTCTGGTGAGTGTACGGATTTGAGTAGAGACATTCTCTCATTAGTAGCCTATTGAAAAAGCAAGCCCAATATGATAGTACGGCCACGACGTGAAACAATTACTTTAGAATATTTTTACTAACACCCCAAGCCTCCACAGAGGAATGAGCCGTATGCAGTTACTGAAGAGAGAGAGCAGAAGAGAGCGCGTGAATTTGAATTACTCGCATATGACTGGCTTTCCCAAAACTATTTTATTGATAAAGTCTTTGTGTGTGTAAGAGAGAGAACACGCTGTCCAGCAATTAATGCTACGGATCCCCAAATATAATCCCTTAGTCACTATAGTTTTGTCTGTTAAATTAGCTATTAAACTGCTAGCAATTGTTAGGCTATCAGGAGCACCCCATTATTATCATGTCAGAATACTGTATGCTAAAGGACATTATACTGTAAAGTTACATTAATACATTATCAGACAGATATTCACATGGATTTATAGTTTAGGTAAGGAGGGAGAGCAGACAGCAAAACAAAAATATGAGTCAATGCAATAGTGTGTTCAGTAGGCTATTAGGATTTTGGAAACCTGGAAATCATGCCATCCTTTAATTTCTGAAAATAATTCTGAAAATTTGCTCTGCGATGGACTGGACATCTGTCCAAGGTGACACTTTGCTTCCGTGTCTGCACAACCCTGTAACCACATTTTGTTATTTTTGCAGTCTTTTCCTAAAAGGCTTTAGTTGTATGTACAGTATACGCACGCACGCACGCGCACACACACACACACACGCACATATCTATCTATCTATCTATCTATATATATGTGTATATATATATATATATATATATATATATATATATATATATACACAGTGGTGTGAAAGTGTGAAACCCTTCCTGATTTCTTATTTTTTTGCATGTTTGTCACACTTTAATGTTTCAGATCATCAAACAAATTTAAATATTAGTAAAAGATAACACAAGTGAACACAACATGCAGTTTTTAAATTAAGGTTTTTATTATTAAGGGAAAACAAAATCCAAAACTACATGGCCCTGTGTGAAAAAGTGTTTGCCCCCAAACCTAATAAATGGTTGGGCCACCCTTAGCAGCAACAACTGCAATCAAGCGTTTGCGATAACTTGCAATGAGTCTGTTACAGCGCTGTGGAGGAATTTTGGTCCACTCATCTATGCGGAATTGTTGCAATTCAGCCACATTGGAGGGTTTTCGAGCATGAACCGCCTTTTTAAGGTCATGCCACAGCATCTCAATAGGATTCAGGTCAGGACTTTGACTAGGCCACTCCAAAGTCTTCATTTTGTTTTTCTTCAGCCATTCAGAGGTGGACTTGCTGGTGTGTTTTGGATCATTGTCCTGCTGCAGAACCCAAGTTCGCTTCAGCTTGAGGTCACGAACAGATGGCCGGACATTCTCCTTCAGGATTTTTTGGTAAACAGCAGAATTCATGGTAAATATAAATATAAATTTAGAATTAAATTATTGTCTTTTAAATTTCCACTGTGCTAAAGCCAAAGCAAATTGAAGAAAATATTATCTGGAAATATTTATTTCATAAATTCATATCAAGTTATTTTTTTCTACCCAGTTGCATAAAATAAAACATTAAATTCAAATTTATCTGTAAAACAGTTTTCACAATGAATACAATTCCAAAGCAACTTGAAATTATATATAAAACTGTAATGTGGTCAACAGACCAGGAAACCTGGAAATCATGCCATCCTTTAATTTCTGAAAATAATCCGAAACATTTCAACAGCACCATCCAGTCACGGATTACAACCATTATGAAAAGTTTGTGGAGCGTGTGGCTAAAGGAGAGCAGAATGTTTTAATATCGGAAAAGCCTCTTATTCTGGCTATGACGTCAGGAACGTCTGGATCCAGCCGTATGCTTTTGAGCACCAAAGACACCAACACAGAATTCTTCCTACAGGTCACAACACATACACATTCTTAAGTACAAAATTATGTCTGCATTACTAGTGGCACCAAACAAAAAATGGCAAAAGTAATGGCACTTTTCAAACTTGGGTAAAGATATGGAGAAAGTACAATGGGTATATAATCACATTTTGTTGCTTTGCAGCCTGAAATGAAGACAGACACCGTTTTTGTTTTATTTACTCAGTGCAACTTATGCTGCCTTCACGTGCTATCGGAAATGTCCTATTTCCCACGTATTAAGTAGTGATTACGAGCGTTGCATTCAAGTTCTTTAATGTCGGAAAGAATAAAATGTAGCATCCCATTGGTTGACTATCATAAACATTGACGGCGCTACACATGCAGTTTGCTGATAGTTCTGGAATTTCGGTCAAATACATGCTTATTTCACTGCTTATAAAACATACTATATACTTCGAATGATCGTTCATATCTAGCCTATAAATACACTACTTTAGTGACAAGACAAAGGGATGTAGTTTTTGTGAGCACAGCACTGACAGCAGCAATGGTTGTCCCCTCCAACATGTTTAAAGATTATGACCCGCCCAACTCGGAAACTCTGGTATCAAAATTATTTCCGAATTTCCCAGTAGTAAATACGACTTGAGAGGCATTCACGTCTAATTTCCGATTAGGAAACTCGTATTTACAATAATTCCGATAGCACGTGAAGGCAGCATTATTACATCCAAGTAAAGGATGTAACGCCAACATGTCAGAAAAAAATAAAAAAACTAGAATCACTGAGTTGGACAAAGAATCACCCCCTCCTAAAAATGACTTGTTAACTCAGTCAGGTGTAGCTAATCACCTTCTCAATGGCATACAAAGCCAGACTTTCAACTGTGATCAGCTGTGCTCATTTTGATTAGCTCAGCATGAAAAGAGCTTTCCTGGATCATATCAGTCCTTGGTAGTGCAACTGAAGCAAACACTCAACTATGGGCCCATCAAAAGATCACCTGGATAAAGCTGTGGACAGGCACAAATCAGGAGATGGATACAAAAAAAATGTCAAAGACTTTATCACTGCCTAGAAGCACAGTGAAGTCTATTATTAAGAAATTAAAGCTAATTTTTTCAACACAGACCCTCCCTGGATCAGGACGTTGCTCCAAACTGGATGAAAGAGCCAGGAGGAAACTGGTCAGAGAGGTTACCAAGAGACCTACAGCAACTATGAAACAGTTGCAGGAATTTATGACAAAGAGTGGTCAATGTGCGTATGTGATGACAATATCACAAATGTGGCTTGTATGGGAGGGTTGCAAAAAAAAAGAAAAAAAAAGAGACATGAGAATAAAATTTAATTACTTGGCCTCAACACCAAAGGATATATCCAATACAGCGCACCATCCAAATAACACCATTCCTACAGTAAAGCATGGGTGTGTTTCTCTGCAGCAGCAGGGACTGGAGCACTTGTTAGGATAGCAGGAAAAATGGATGGGGAAAAATACCGTCAAATTCTTGAGGAAAATCTGCTGCCCTCTGCTAGAAAGTTGTCAATGGGAAGAAGGTTTACCTTCCAACATGACAATGACCCGAAGCACACAGAAAATCTGAGCACACAGTGGTTGAAGGAGAAAAAGTTGAATATCCTTGCATGGCCTTGTCAGAGCCCAGACTTAAAGCCCATTGAAAATCTGTGGAATGACTTGAAGACTGCAGTCCACAATAGGTCACCATCAAATTTAACTGAATTTGAGCAGTTCTGCAAAGTAGAGTGGGCAAATATTCCAAAGTCTAGATGTTAGTAGAGACATATCCCAACAGACTAAAGGCTGTAATTAAAGCAAAAGGTGGTTAAAAAAAATAAATAATAATCTGACACAAGGGGTGATCCTTTTTCCAACTCAGTGATTCTGTTTTTTTTTATCTTTTTCTGACATGCTGGTGTTATATTGTTCACTTCAATGTTATAAGTTGCACTGAGTAAGTACAGCTGGATAATGTGATTATTTTAAAGAGGGTGGTTCTTTTCTATACCCACTGTACAATGTCAGATTCCTTATTACATGTTTACAAGTAATAGGCCAATAAAAACCAACTAGCAACAAGTGAGTTGAATATCAAGCTAATTTACCACATTTTGTGATCAATGAAAGTAATATAATCATCAAACTTCCAATCTAGCAGACAGCACTGAATATGTACTCCAACAGCCTGTCAAGTTTTTGTTTGTTTTCCAAAGAGCTCGAGAGGAAGCTGTCTATTATTTCTGTGCACTTTTCTGGCAGGGGGTGACAATTTGTCTAGATGCCATGATGCAAGCCTTTCCAGCCACTGACTGTCTCCAGAAAACCCTGAAGCTCTTTTACTCGCCCATTTTTCGTCAGAGTGAGGCAGGTATTCCTATTGGCCCCAACTCCTCAACTCCTGCCTCCTCTAAACACATGCTGCATCTGTACACCACGCCAGCGCCCGTCTATCAGGTAGGTGGGAGATGAATAGAAATTTAACATGATATTTAGTGATAATAATAGGCAGAGGTGTAATGAGTACCCGAAAACCACACTTAAGTAAAAGTACAGATACCTAGCAGTTAAAATTACTCCATTACAAATTACAAGTCACCAATTCCAAAACAACCTGAGTAAAACCCTTACCCCCTGTTTCACAGACAAGGCTTAAGCTAGTCCCAGACTAAAATGCATGTTTGAGCTGTCTCAACTGAAAATTTGAGTTCACCTAAAAATGAAAATTTGATGTTTATCTGCTTACCCCCAGGGCATCCAAGATGTAGGTGACTTTGTTTCTTCAGTAGAACACACATGATGATTTTTAACTTTAACCGTTGCAGTCTATCAGTTGTATAATGCATGGCAATGGTAACAAAATTTATGAGAGTAAAAAAACATGCACAGACAAATCCAAATTAAACCCTGCGGCTCGTGAAGACACATTAATGTCCTAAAACACGAAACGATCGGTTTGTGCCAGAAAGCGAACAGTATTTATATAATTTTTTACCTCTAATACACCACTATGTCCAACTGTCTTTGGGCGCGCGCACGGCATCCGGTGCGTGAGGTGTGTATGCGCTGCCTGGGCACATGTCTGTACAGTAGACGTAATACGCATGCACATAATGTCAGCGTTTTCACAATTTTGCATTTTTATAGTTTACACAGGGACAATAACGGATGATAATTGACCAGATTTGAGTCTTTCCAGGTTGAGTCTCAAGTCCTCTTGATAATGTCTGATTGATTATGCTGTTACTTCAATCCAAGTCAAGTACAAGTCATGAAACTCATTTATATAATTTTTTACCTCTAATACACCACTATGTCCAACTGTCTTTGGGCGCGCGCACGGCATCCGGTGCGTGAGGTGTGTATGCGCTGCCTGGGCACATGTCTGTACAGTAGACGTAATACGCATACACAATGTCAGCGTTTTCACAATTTTGCATTTTTATAGTTTACACAGGGACAATAACAGATGATAATTGACCAGATTTGATTCTTTCCAGGTTGAGTCTCAAGTCCTCTTGATAATGTCTGATTGATTATGCTGTTACTTCAATCCAAGTCAAGTACAAGTCATGAAACTCAAGTCCACAACCCTGCTGTGAATGCACTGGAAGTCAGCTTGGATAAAAGAGCCTACCAACTAAAATAAAAAATTGTTTAACCATAGATCTGATCAGAACACTAATTTATAGAATCTAAAAGACACTGTTGGTTATGTCTCTAGGTGCTGAATGAGAGAGACGCCTTGTATCTCCATCTGCTGTTTGGGCTGAAAGACCGCAATCTTGGCATGCTGGAATCCAACTTCTGTTCTACCGTCTTTTATGCCTTCAGAGCCCTGCAGGTACAGTGAGGTCCAAAAGTCTTAGACCACTATTGAAAATGCTTCTATATTACATTATTTATTGCAAATTAAATAACCATCATTGCATTTCTGAATGATCACCTAGTAGTGCATCTTAATTATTATCATCATCATTTATTTTGTATCATTGTTTATTTTAAGGTTCAAATGTTTGTATAATGCTATCAGGTGAACAGGAATGCTAAATTTGCTTATTCAATTAGTGACCAAGGCATAATGAAGAATTCATTTTAAATCATAAATGTTTCAAAACTTTGTCAGTGTAGTCTCAGACTGTTGGGCCCCACTCTGTACATGTTAAAAAAAACACAGCCTTACCATGAATGAATACAGGTTAATGAAGTGCAACAGAATTGGAAAGAAGCGGCATTACACTTCAGATTCTTGTCCCGCTCCCAGATTTGTCTAATCAGTTTTTTTGATACTGACACTGAATAGATCAGAAAGATCCCGAGTAGCAATCTGTGTATCTGCATTTAGGAATGTTGGAAAGATCTTGTGGTGGATGTGGAAGTGGGCATGATCAACTCCGGTCTGAGCCTGAAGGCTGATGTACGCCATGCTCTAGAGAAACTGATGAAGCCAGATCCGGAGAGAGCCGCTGAGCTCGCAGCCCAGTTTGAGGAAGGCTTTGAGGGGATCGCACTCAGAATATGGCCCCAGTTACACCTGGTTCTGACAGTGGATTCGGGCTCCAACCAGATTTATGGGGAGATGTTACGGCGGCACTACTGTAAAGATATCCCATTCTACTCCCCTTTCTACGCTGCCACTGAAGGTGTGTTGTATGTGGATGCATGTGTGTACATTTCTGAACTGGATAGTGGATAGTAATATTTTAAAGTAATAAGCCATGATAGGTCTTTGTGTTATTGTTTTTTCCATGGGCAGGGTTGGAAGGGTTACGTTTCTGAGTACAGAATGCTTATTTGTAGCATATTCCCTAGGATTACTGAAGGTATACTACTGGTCAAAATTTGAAATAATTAAGATTTTTTAAAATGTTTTTTAAAGTCATTACTGGAGTGTGTTTCCCAAAAGCAACTATGGTCGCAAGTTTTGTTGTTACCGATAGAGTTCATTGAAACTTTTGACTATAGTTAGCTCACGATGCTTTTGAGAAACACACCCCAGCACAGTAAATGGCAACATGCATGTGTAAAGTTGTAAATGAGCCGGCATAGAGTACAGTTCACATGGATGCATTAGCTGTATATAATGGTCTGTAATTCATGTTTCAGGCCTGATAGGTGTGAACCTGTGGCCTCAGCAGGAGAGCAGACAATATCTCCTGTGTCCTCGCTCCATGTTCTGTGAGTTTATACCAGAGGAGGATCTGGATTCAGAACGGCCCAAAACTCTCCTGATGGAGCAGCTTCAAGAAGGACATAACTATGAGTTGCTGGTCACCAACGCTTCAGGATTATTCAGGTCAGGTACATGATCCTGCTTCTACATGTTTAAAACAAAGTTCTGTCATGAAATTCCTGATGGCACAGGCCGAAACATCCTAACTCAGCCTGATTTAATCACATCTGTGACGAGTGGGGTGGGGCCGAGAGCCGTGGGAACGAAGCGAAGCCGGTGGAGTTAATGATAATGAGCGACACCTGCACCACTCACCGGTCTCGAAGCTCCAGAAGGATAAAAGGAGGAGTAGCAACAGTGAAGGATCAGAGGGGACCAGGCCTGGATTTTATGTTGTTGTTTTATGTGGCAGTTGTCCGTGAGGGCCTGCCGCTTTTACTTTTGTTATGTGTTTATTTATTTATTAAAGTTTTATGTTTAAATGTTCCCGCCGCCTCCTTCCCGATCTACGAACGTTTGTTACAACACCATTATTCACATGGCGCAGCTAATGGTTTTTGTTGCATCAGCAGGCAATGAGCTTGCTGCTCAACATTAAAATACCTGGCCAGTGTTTGCTGTAGCAGTTTGCTGCATGCTTCAGAAACCCTCCACCTTCCCCAGCACCACCTGTGTAGATCTGCTACAGGGTAATTTCACATATGTTATATGTGCAGCAGCAGCATGTCTTACACACTCAACACTAAGATCAAATACATTAACATTGCCATGTACAGTATATTAACATGCTAACCTTTCAGAGAGTTGTCATGACAGAACTGGGTTTTCTTTAAATTGCCTACTTTTGCTGCTATTTTACCATATGTCTGTGAAGATCTTAATAGTCTTAAATAGAGAAAACTTAACTATTAATGGGAAAAAACAAAGTAAATGTCACAGTATGTTTATTTGATGTTACAATTTTTGCAGAAGTGAAGTTAAAATATCTGGTTGGACATTCTTTTTCGAATGTGACACTGTTAAAGGTGCATGTGAGAGAAAAATGTTTTTAAAAATAGGATTGCACATGTATGTTAAATATGCATACTATGCGGATGATGATAGTTACACCATGCACACTGAACACATACCTTAGCACATTGGTTCCCAACCCTGGTCCTGGAGGCACCCCAACACTGCACGTTTTGCATGTCTCCTTAATCAAACACACCTGATTCAAGTCATCAGCTCATTAGTAGAGACTCCAAGACAGGGGTGTCCAAACTCGATCCTGGAGGGCCACTGTCCTGCAGAGTTCAGCTCCAACCCCAATTAAACCCACCTGCACCAGCTAATCAAGGTTTTAGTAGGCATACTAGAAACTGGCAGGCAGGTGTGTTGAGGCAAGTTGGAGCTAAACTCTGCAGAACAGTGGTCCTCCAGGACCGAGTTTGGACACCCCTGCTCCAAGACCTGAAACTGGTGTGCCAGGGAAAATAGACATGCAAAATATGCAGTGTTGGGGTGCCTCCAGGACCAGGGTGGGGAATCACTGCCTTAGCATACACATAAAACAGGAAAGTATACTTTAAGCTTTACTGTTAAACTTACTGTTTGGGCTTAAATGCAATGTTTCAAGCATTTGAGCATGGCTGACAGAATTATGAAATGTTATTAACATGAACAATGCATTGAATAAGTCATTAAGTTACTTTACCTGTGAACAGTTAGTGCTGTAATGCTGTTTTTGAGCATTTTCTTTAAGGACACAGATGATGCCATGAATTAGTGCATTGGATATTTTAAAAATGAAAAAAAAAAAACAATGATTTAGAGGAAGTAAATATTTAGCAAATTGGTGAAACAATGTAGTGGACATTCTCTAAAGTCTCTCATCTGTGTTTTTCAGGTATCGCATTGGAGATGTTGTGAAAGTAGTTGGGTTTCATAACCAGTGTCCAAAAGTGGAGTTTCAGTATAGGTACACATTTTTATTATACATTATATAATCAAATGTTTAATACAACTGAGTGTCCTCAGGTGGTACACAGCACAACACTTTTAAGTAAAATTTTTTAAATGTTGTAATTGCAATTTCTTGTTACATTTTTCATATTTTTATGTCTACAAGATTTGGCAGTGCGAAATGTAAATAGGGATGTGAAGTTTTCTGCAGTAGCTTCATTCTTGTAGCTCAACAGTAGAGTGTGGGACTAGCAAGGCTAAGATTGTGGATTTGATTACCAGGGAATGCATGAACTTGAAATAATATTCATGTAGTACTGGTGGTATATTCTGACTAATCAATGGAGCAGTATTATTCTGTTTGCCCTTGCAGCAGTATTATTATTATTATTATGTATGCTTCTACAGTCATTACACTTTCTAACAAATTCATACATGCAGATTTATTTTTGCCTAATTCTGGAAAAGCTGAAGATGGTACCTTGTCTGAGATTGAGAAGCACTTATCTAATCAATCATAATTTCTGTGTAATGGTTTGTTTAATGTGTGTGTTCAGGCGCGGTCAGATGTTGAGTGTGCGTGGTGAGAAAGTGTCTGAATCACTGTTTTTGGGGGCTCTTAAGAAGGCAGTGACACAGTGGCCAGGAGCCAGACTAATAGACTACAGCTGCGTTGAGAGTGGCATTTTAGGTAATGTTTGTCTTTTATTAATTAATTTGTATTTTAAAGGAATGTTCCAGGAACATTACAATTTAAACTTTTTATATAGCAGTTTGCGAATATTTCAGCTGTTATTATATGCGTGAATAGTGTTATAGAATTATGTCTGTGTCTGTCTGTGTAAACATCAGTATAATGCAAGTTGTATTGAATCTGGAACGTGAATTGAACTTTAAGGTTGACGTTTTATGTAATACTGAAATGCATTAAATGTTGCATTTCATTTGTTGTTTGTTTACTGTAGGCAGTGCATCTGGAATAGCTCAGCCGCATTATCTTGTGTTTGTTGAGCTAAAGGGTGTGAGGAACCTCTCAGAGGAACAAAGATACAAGGTGATTATCTATAATGTTCATTCAAGAACTTTGAAGAGACTCTTCTCTTTAACTGCTCGTTATATTCCAGATTGCTTTTTAAATCCAACAGTTAGACCACTGCCTACAGGAGGACTCTGATATCTACCGATCCTTCAGGATGAAGGGCAGCATCGGACCAATGAGAGTTCAGCTCGTTCGTGAGGGAACTTTCCAAGAACTGAAAGATCGCATGATGGCCTTCTCCAGTGCTTCGTCTAACAACTTCAAAATGCAGCGTGTGATACGCAACAGAGAGTTTGCAGACTTTCTACTGCAGAGGACTTTTTCATGAGCATTTCAATTAGAGATGAATGAAGTGTCATTTTTGGCAATGTTAAAATATTTTCTGCTATCCTAGTTTTATATGCTGAGATGATAGGTTGGTCTGCTTGATGCTGCCAGAGAGATGGTTCTTGGTCCTGGTCCTGGAGGACCCGAATACTGCACATTTTGGATGTTTACCTTATTTAGCACACAAGGGTACTGTAGAGTATGCCGTCAACCTCAATTTCCGTTTCCAAAAACCTTTCCAGTAACTTTCAGGCTATGTTCGTGCTAATAGTTTGTTCTGACCAAATGGGACAGTCCGTCATCAGATTGTAATGTTATTGAAAGCTTGTGAATTAGAATCCAGTAGAAAAATGATTGAATTATAATAATCATTGTTATTATTATTATTACCTCACAAAATCTATTTCATCAAATTTGACTGATATCCAATATTACCAATGATTGATTTTTTTTTCCTTTTGGACATGACTTGAAACCACACAAGATTGTATCAAGTGCATGCCCAAGTTTTTAGGGCTCATTATCGTTTAAAAATTTATGACTGACATTGTGAAATATTACATTACTTTTTTTAAATATATAAATACAAAAGATTTACTTTTAATAGTTCAAGCTGTATTAAAAGTCTTCTAGAGCCATATAACTTTGTGTGAGGAACAAACCAAAATTGAAGTCTATAAATTTGACCAGTTATTCTAGTCCAGTTCTTCTTGGACTTGAATGAGCTGGTCTCAACTGCAACACATACAAAACCTGAATGAGGGTGGTCTTGATAGTGACCTTCCACCTGTTTTAAACACCTTAGTCTTATTCAAAATCACAGTAGTAAAGGTAAGCCAAAGAAATAATCGGGTTCCAAAGTAAATCCATCTCCAATCGATGATTAAACATACTGATTGTAAACAAACAAAAAATGTGACATCCTATCAAGCAAGGTAAATTCTAAGCAGGTAAGCCAGCATACAACTATTAAGTAAAACAGAAATTAATGCACTTAAATAGTGTACATAGAGTCTAGTTCTTCAAAATAAGGTAAACCACAGACTTGGCAAAGTCTGATGTAAACTGGAGTCTTCTGTTGAACCCAAAATATGCCATATGAGTTTTCCGATGAGTAAAGGCCTCCTTGCTGAGGCTGTTGGCAATCAGCTGTGTTTTGGTGGACAGCATGTGGAACAGCTCAGCCTACGTGCTGAAATAATTCACAATGACAAGAAGGTATTGATTCAACCTTGGGCTTTTTTGGGAACGGGTCCATAAGGTCAGTACCCAACATTTGGCCAGGCTCCACCACCAACATAGATTGTAAATATTCTTGGAGATCCATGGCTTGTATTTCTGACAGATTTGGCACAACTTACAGTATTTCCAAACATCATTATGTATCTCTGGCCAATCTACAACATTCATCAGCTTAAGGTTTTTAATGGATGCATTTGGCATTTCTACCTTTCTGCTTTCCTCCCAGCTGATGGGAACTTTTCTATTATCACCTGGTGTATGGCATGCTGAGCTTGGGCTTCTATACATATTCTACATTAGAGTGAGGAACAACATTAGATTGCCCTTTGCTTTACTATGGAGTCTCAGAGAAGGATAGCCCATCTCATCAGATGGGATGTTGGACTGGGGTACTGATCCAGGTACTGCCGTCACTTCTCTACTGGCCAAACTACAGCAAGACATTCCTTTTTGAGGTATGACGTTTCAGTTCTTTGAAGTAACGGGAAGCATAAGCAATCGTGTTCTCATTTGTCTGACATTTGTGTTAAAATAAATGGATTTTTACTTGCATCCATTTGAACTTTCAAGAGTTAAGTCTGGTGGCATGAGACCTTTAATTTCCCAAAAACTTGCTCTTAATTCCTTTTTCCTTCCCCAAACAAATATCCTTCTTCTTGAGAGCATTTAATGGAATGGCCCATTCCCGAAAAAAGAGACATGAGTCGGTGATACCATCCTGATTGACCAAGCAACGATTGAACATCTTATAGTGGGCAGCAAGCAGAGAACATAGCAACCTTTTCACAGAATGCCGTGGAAAAGTCTTGCTACCAGTGTGAGTGTTTTTTTGGTGGACAACATAAAACATGCACAATTACTGGCCAAACTACAGCAAGACATTCCTTTTTGAGGTATGACGTTTCAGTTCTTTGAAGTAACGGGAAGCATAAGCAATCGTGTTCTCATTTGTCTGACATTTGTGTTAAAATAAATGGATTTTACTTGCATCCATTTGAACTTTCAAGAGTTAAGTCTGGTGGCATGAGACCTTTAATTTCCCAAAAACTTGCTCTTAATTCCTTTTTCCTTCCCCAAACAAATATCCTTCTTCTTGAGAGCATTTAATGGAATGGCCCATTCCCGAAAAAAGAGACATGAGTCGGTGATACCATCCTGATTGACCAAGCAACGATTGAACATCTTATAGTGGGCAGCAAGCAGAGAACATAGCAACCTTTTCACAGAATGCCGTGGAAAAGTCTTGCTACCAGTGTGAGTGTTTTTTTGGTGGACAACATAAAACATGCACAATGACCTGATCACAGGAGCTGCTTTGTGAACAGACACAAAAGGGACATCTTAGCATATTTACACAATCTATTCAAAGATCTGTAGAGGCTTAATGACAGTGCTGTTTTTGACAATATATACAATCTTACCTATAGGTAGTGGGGTATACATGAATGTATGAGTGAACGTTTAACATTTCAGAATAATGTTTGGCTTCTATGCATTCAGCACAATGCATCTGGAAGGTGTAAAAAGTCAATAATACATGGTTAAAAAATTAAAGACACTGTTCAAAATGTGAATTTTTGACGCACCAGAGTGGGCCATTTTGGGGCTAGATGTTATAATAACAGCCAATCACTTTGGGAAGTTTGGGGAAACAGTAACAGCAAACAACGTATCGTATTAAAGCTTCTCAACTTACATCTGTTTAAAAAAAAAAAGCCAACCCGTTTTCAGTCCCAAGATATCCAATAGTGAAAATCATGCCCCAAAATATCATGTCATGATGTCAAAATTATGCCTCTTCACGTGCACTATAATTTTACAATGATACTTTTTTTGATGCCCTAGGCCTAGATGGCAAATGATTCTCATGGAAAGTATTGCAATAAAGACGCCAAAGGGCGCTTTTGGCATATTGGATATGGTGCAATTTTTGGTGCATTAAACAGTCTGTGTTAATTAACAAATGCCAGGTCAGATGCAGCTTCTGTACCACCTTGCCAGTATAAAGATGGCTTTTGTTAATGTTGCTAAAACTTTTATTGGTAACATAGTATCTAATTTAGATTGATTTAATTCATTTAAATTTGACATAAAAGACAACACATATATACTAAAATGATTATAAAAAGTATAAAGGTAAATATAAAGGCAAAAATGCCCCTGGAAATCAATTCCAGGGGGCAAATATTGCCCCTTAATGGAAGTTAATTGTGACCCTGTCCAAGACAGCTTGTGTGATGAAGTTGAGACAAAGATACTAAGAACACACTAAGGGAAAAAGTGTTTTATTGGAGCCCTCATAATGAAATATAATTACATGCACATAAACAAAGCAAATTTACAATTGGAATAAAAGTTACATGCAAAAAGTGGTAAAAAGAGGAATCATTTTATACAAGATTCAAGGTTAATGTAAATTTTAATGTTAGTTTTGATTGATAATCAACAAAAGCATGAACAGCCCTCTACAGAACAATTAAAAGCTTCTGTATTGAGTATTCAGTGTCATAGTTTTTAAAAGTATAAAACAATATAATACATACAGTAAGTGTGTAATCAGTCTGCTTCTGCAATGCTAGTTATATGACCACTCAAAGTAATTTGTGCACATTATTAAAACTTTATTCATTACAGACCTACACTATAATCACACTTACAAGTGTCCACATCTATTAATTTATATGTGTGCAGGTCCATGTTGCATATAATGTAGAATGAATTAAATCAAATAGCTCCTTATCATTGATTTAAGTGGTCACACATTGTGCAAATGAAAATAAACCCTGAGTCTCATTAATCCAAGTATTAAATTCAGTTACTTAGTGCAATAGAGTACTACTGGAATTCTGACAGCAGCTTTTTAAAAGTTTTACATAATTTCAACAACATGCAACAACATTCCCATATTCGGCAAAGACAGTAACTGTTATTAATAAGCATTGCTAATTTGTCATGCAGCATTCTGTCAACTGTGCATATATGTATTAAAGTGGCTGTTATTTTATCTGTTCCGATAGTAACCCAGAATAATCCTTTTGTGGATACATTCTGGGCTTTTAATTTTATGGTAACATTTCTTTCAGTACTACATGGCCATCAAATAATACATTATGATGAGGTCATCTGATTGAATAAATTTTTTTAATAAATATTAAAAATGAGGGCAGTCTATCATGGGCATAGATTATAGAGGTATGTCGGAATAGTCTACTGCAAAAACTGTTAACTGTAGGACATTTTGAATATAATACAATCTATTTTTGAATATAATCTAACTAAAAGTTTTATTCCATAAGTGCATTTGCTTGCTTTTCTTTGATATGTCCCATTTGAGTAAACAGTCAAGCTCTGATAGGTAAAGTGAAATCATAAGGTACTGTACGTACATGCTGTATCCTAAATATCTGCAGCAATTTAAAATATTCATTCAACATTTCAGAGTACATTTTCTGTAGGAAAAAGAATAATCCACTATGCAGGTCAGGAGCATATAGACACACACAGAAAACTAAATCATAGTTCAATGAAAGTGATTTTTGAAATAGAATTCTGCTAATTCTATAACTGATGTACACAGTAGACAACTAACATGTTTACTGTACTCATGAACACAATACAGTCACCAGGTTTTTTAGTGAAGATGCTCTCCGTTTGATGACATAATTCACATGTAACTTTGCATAGTTTTGCAGTTTTTGAGAATGGAATGGAATGCCAGGAACCAAGTTTCTGAAAAGATAAAGTGGTTTAAAAATTAGTTAGCATTTTTGCCTTCTGAAATCTGATCATATAATGGATAATGAGCTGATATTTTTATGTACAGTATATAGTATTGTAACGTAAGATGCTGGTCGATATAACTGAAATTAGAACTTTTCTTTTTTTAATGTATCATCATAATCATAAAAAAACATTGGTTTGTAGTGCAAATAGTTTTACCATTTAATGCACTTTGTTATTCTTCTAGATTTTTACCTATGGCTATTGAACTGGAAGTCTTTTGCCAAGAAAATAGCTTACTTCCGTGTTGCAAAATAAGGTGGATAAAAACAGTTTTTAGTGTCCTGCAGTGAGGACTGAGCAGTATCTGTTAATATTATTAATGGACTTGAGCTAACATGGACAAATAAAAAAATTGAACTGACGTTAACAAAGATTAATACATCATGTAACAAATGTATTGTTAATGCAATAACTGGCGTCAAATTATGGAACTTTACTGTAAAGTGTTACCAAAAAGGTTGTTGAATTGGACACACATTTGAGCTTCTGTTTATTATATTTGCTCTATACAGTTCTGGAAAAAAATTTAAGAGACCAATGAAGAATGATCAGTTTCTCTGGTTTTACTATTTATAGGTGTATATATGTGTTTGTGTAAAAGGACCATTTTTGTTTAATTCTAAAAAAAAAACATTTATTTGCAGAAAATGACAGCTGGTCAAAATAACAAAAAAGATGCAGTGTTTTCAGACCTCAAATAATGCAAAGAAAACAAATTCATATTCATTTGTAAACAACACAATCCTGATGTTTTTAAACTTAAGAAGTTCAGAAATTAATATTTGATGGAATAACCCTGATTTTCAGTCTCAGCTTTCATGCATTTCCTGTTGAGTGACTTTATGCCACTCCTGGCACAAAAATTCAAGCAGCTCGTCTTTGTTTGATGGCTTGTTACCATCCATCTTCCTCTTGATCACAATGTGGTTTAGGTCTGGAGATTGGGCTGGCCATGACAGGGTCTTGATCTGGTGGACCTCCATCCACACCTTGATTGACCTGGCTTTGTGGAATGGAGCATTGTCCTGCTGGAAAAACCAACATTGTCAGAGCAGAAGAACAACTTTGTACTGTACATGGCTTGATTCACAGTGGGTGGATTGTAGGCCTCTCCAGGGCTCCTTCTAACCATTAAACAACCAGGTGTTGGGCAAAGCTTAAAACTGGACTCATCCAAGATGGTCCAATCCTTATGGTCTTTTTTTGCAAACCTCAGCCTGGCTCTTCTTTGCTTCTCATTGATGAAGGGCGTTTTTCTAGCATTGCTCTGCAACCAGGATCCTGTTTCAAACTGTTCTCTCCGTGCACTTCACCCTAGCTGCCGTTTGCCATTCTTTTTGTAGGTCACTTGATGTCATCCTACAGTTGTTGGGTGACATTCAAATGAGTTGGTGGTCATTTCAGTCAGTGGAGAGTCGCTTTCGCTCTCTGCTGGTCTGTAGCTTTGTTGTCCCCAATATCTGCAGCTTGAACCACTGTCTGAAATTTTAAGGATAGAAGCAACCTCACTGTGTCCCTCTGCCAGTAAAGCCAGAATTGAACCCTTCTTCACTCAAAACTTATCTTTTTAATTATTTTGTTATGGTCAATAGTTATTTGATTCCAATTATTTTTGAGGTACTACTAGCACTGTTTTGCCATCCAGCTGATCCCTATTGCAAGAGGACAGTGATGACCACAGCAGTGGTTTTTATACTTTTTCTCGTTAAATGAGATTTGGTTGAGGCGATCACCTAATCAGTACTCCATTAAGCAGAATGAGGTGTGTCTGTGTGTCATGTGGAGATGCTGATTTAAGAAAAAATTTGAGTGGTCTCAATTTTTTTCAGAGCTATATATATATATGCATAAAAGACAGAATTAAATCTGTTCATCATATCGCATCTCTTCGGAAGATTTGGATTAAACCACTCCATTCATATGGACTGGTCATAAGTTCAGTGTCTTTCTGAACTTTTTTGAAGCTTGAAAATTGTGATTGCTTGAACTTTAAATGGATTGACAAAAATGATGAGAGAATTACAAATATCTTCAATTGTGTTATGCAGATGAACAAAAGTCTTATAGGTTTGGAAAAACAAGAGGGTGAGTAAATTACACAATTTTCATTTTTGAGTGAATTATCCCTTTAACAATAAAAACAAGGAAAGCAGTTGGTTGTGTGTACAGCAATTATGGTGTATTTACCAGAAAAGTGAATATAGATAAAGTTCACTGATTATAATGAGAACGATTTAGTTTTGTGTGTGTGTATGTGTATGTGTGAGAGATATTCTAGTTTTTAAAAAACTTACTTGGTAAGCACATCCAGGCCCATCTAACATTTTGTGATTTCTTGGTTAAGACTAGCAGGTTTTAGAAGTTGGGTCTGGTGCCAGTTCTTCCACACCATTACTGCCCTTTTCTGCGGTGGAACAGGAAAAGGTTCCGATCAGGCACTAGATCTGTGACCGAGAGAGACACCCTGTTGATGTAAAAGGGATTCGGTGATGGTCCAGATGATTAACTGCTGAGCAGCTTTTTCTCTTTATACTCATGAACTTTTGAAATTCATAATGAAAGGAAAATGGTGTTAAAATTCAAACAGAAATTTTGGTTGCAGGGTTGATTATAGTCATTCCTCATTGTCAGTCCATCAGATCCAGGCACCATGTGGTCTCTGAGCTCTCAGATTGGCTACAAATTCCTACAACTCTATTACAATTCATTTTCATATCAATCTTCTGTTTACCTGTGTTTAATACAGTAGTTGTACTGTAGACCACATAGACCAGTAATCCCACTACTAGAAGTATTTTTTAAGACAACTCTACAGTTCAAACGACAGACATTTTTAGAAAAAAATAATTAATATAAAATTAATGTTTGTACTTTTAATGTGTCTGGCACAATTGCTCCTAAGTTTGTTATTGTAAACATGATTTTAATTTGTTTTCATGAACTGGAGAAGAGTCGAAAGTAGTTGCTGTGGTAATGGACAGCTGTACACCTGAAACATTCCATCAACATGTAGTACATCAACATGTACTGTAGCGTTCAGAAGGATAATCAATATACATAATGTCCAAATAACAAGTCAAAAGGTAGAAAAGCAACAAAGACATGTTACAAACCCAGAATAGCCAAGACCATGTTGTCCTTTAGAACCTCTAGTGACCCAGAACAGACAAAGTAGTTGGCCTGCAACGCGTCCCCCTGTCTGATGAGATATTCCCCCGGTGTACAGAAAGTGGTTTTGATATGGAGGGAGAGCGAGCGCAGGCAGCCCCTACTAGCACCATCAAACACAGGCAGCTGCAGGATGTCTTTGTTTAAGTGCATGGCTATATCGGCACGCAACTCATCAGGAAAATCATGCAAGAGCTGCAGAAAAAACAACAACATAAAATCTTCTTTACCATTGTTTGAAATGAACAATAAATAATATAAATAATTATTTTTTCCTTAAAACTTTTTTTGGGGTTTTTAAGACTTTTTAAAAAAAAATATTTAAAAGGTTTGAAGGTTCAGACAATTATACAAAAAAACAGGTAACATTTTATTTTGGGGACCAATTCGCACTATTACCTAGTTGCTTATTAGCATGCAAATGACCAAAAAAGGGTTGTTAGGATGTTCTGGGTCTTTGGTAGAGCATTACTATGCAATTGCTAGGGTGTTCTTTATGGTTGCAATGACATAATTAGGCTGTTGCTATGCTATGTGATTGCTAGGGTGTTGCAAAGGCATTATTGTTGACAGGCATGTTGGGTCACTCTTCTATATTTCCTAACCTCCTTTGTGGCTCACTTCTTAATTGTCAGTCTTTGATGCAGCTGAAATTGAGCTGCGATTCTAAAAGACAGACTGGATTTTATGATGATCCCCTCCCTCCCCCCTCCATCCTCCTGCTTATCCTCCTTCATCCATCCTCCTCCAGTTATGTTTTGTAAGGTTGTTGTTAAATGAATGCTCTTACACACTCTGTGTCACTTATCAAATCAAGTGTCCTTAGCCAAACTCTGCCAAGTAAAAACAGGACCCTGAGCTCTTTTAGGAGCTATACAACACAACAGATTTGGTGTGAGCAGCACACAAGCAGTTGTACAGTCTTTTAGCAGCTAGGTGTTCCTTGATCATCATCTTGGCCTGTCCATCAAAGATACTGTATCTGCGATGCTGTGTAAATAGCATTAGTGGGTTGCTCAGTGTCACTATGGAAGACTTTTCTGCGTGTTTCAGCACAATTCAACCACAGTCATGTTGAGCTAGCTTTCTACCAAAATCCCTTCACCTGCCGTTCAAACTCTGCAGAGGAGGCCAAACCCGGTGAAAAAAACTCTTGGTGCGAGACAAACAGACTCCTTTTAACAAAGGGCTCTTCCTCTTCACTGGTGAGTGCCACTCAGCCTTATCCCATGAACGAGCCTCTGTGCCCATTATCCTGTCACGCGAATGTGTTGCAGTTTCTCTCAGTTCTGGCTAGGTGGTGAAACCCATTATGGACCTACGTAAGACAATTGAATCTGCACTTTCCACGGTGCCCATTCAAAATGGTTTCTCATAAACGAATCCTATCACACACCCATACTGAGAGCTGGTTTATGTCCGAGAATCTAATGGATGCGTACTCTCATATGCTGATTGTTCAGCATTACATACTAATCTAGGCATGCATTCGAAGGGAAGGGAATTGCCCCACAGAAATTGAGCAGCATTTGCACTCTGAACAAACTCTATGATTAGAGCAGAGGTTTTGTGCAAGACACAATATGACATCCAGAGCTGTGCAGCCTACATTTCAGTTTCTACGTGCTCAGCAGAGTTAACCAGGATAATCTTTTACTGTTTACTGGATTATCTCAGTTGGTAAGGTGGTAGTTAGTAGGCACTAGGCTCTATGCTCTGAGTTAGAGTGTGTTTACATTTCAACAGTGGATGGATGCTGGTTTCACCCCATCAGTGCCCAAACTTTGTGTAGCTGCCATATAAGAACACCATGCTGTTATAGTTGGCTATTCTGTGTGCACGCACGATCTGATAATAAGAAATTTCAAGGAATGAGGCGTCAAAACACTTTTGTCCTGCTACAGTCCTGGGATTTTCCTGCAACATGTGCCTAACAGTGCTAAGCTTCACCAAAGATGGGGATCTGTCATGATTGCAGCAATATTTAAAACATATTTGAATCTGTGACTGATGGAGGGCCTAGACCTTCATCCACATCACACGGCTTTAGAATTTGGGGACAAAAGCACCACTTGATCAATTAGAACATCTTAAGATGAATTAGCTGAACCCCTTTCACCCCTTTTTATTTGAGGAACCTCTGAGATTGTACTTAATATTTTAACAAATTTAACCACACATTTGCAGGCTCATACAGTGGAGATCAAGATCACGAAGAAAGATTAAAACTACAATTTCTAAAGGTTACAGTAAAAATTAGTAGGAAGTGTACAGGCCCTTGCTTTGAATGACTTCAGCACACCTGCGGCCACAGGACATAGTCTCTCACTCTGCTCTGGTGTGATCTTGGTCTAATCTTTTTCCAGTCTCTTCAAGAGTTCAGTGACTGTAGTGAGTTTCTTATCCATAACTTTGTCACCAAGGATTTTACCAGAGATTTTCAGTTTAGATCAGGACTCTGGGCTGCCCATTTCATTATTTCAGTGTTTCATTATTTCATTATTTTAAAAGGAACTGCTTTACTTGTTTCGCTGTGTGACAGGGGGCATTGTTCTTCATGAAAGCAGGGAAGGAACTGCATGTTGCCATAGGAGGTTCTGATAAACATTTGCATTTACTCTGCCATGTAGCTGTATAAGAGGCCCAACTCCTGCTGCAGAAAACATCCCCCAAACCATGACACTTTCTCCTCCACTGTTCACTGACTTCTTTTCGCACTTTGGGTTCAGTCTTTCCCCAGTTTGATAACAAACATAATGTTTCCCATCAAACCCAAATAAATTAAACTTGCTTTCATCACTGAAGTGAACTTTGGACCAGTTCTCCTCTCTCCACACTCCTCAGCAAAGGTTAGTCTAGCCTTTTGATTCTTTCTGCTGATGAGAGGGAGTGGGCTTTCCGTCCAAATTCTCTTAAATGTCGAGACAGATCCTTACCCTGTTCAGTGCTGAACTGGTGAGCAATTCCAGCTGCAGTGTTGAACTGTTAATTAAGGAAATTAGCTTTGTCACGTCCAGTGTACTAGACAGACTTTAGCTGTTGCGAAGCAGACACGGTGTTACTCACCTATCGAGAAGAAACAAAGCAACCTCGTCGTCCGATCACAGGCCTTCCGCTCCTTGAGTTCTCTCCAGGGCTGGAAAGCTGATCCGATATTTACACGGGTCCTACTTCTTGCCTTATTGTCTTAAGCCCTCTTTTGTTCCACAGACAGACTGTCTCTCGGTTCAGCTAATGTCCATCATGTGCACTGAAAGCTCTCTCCTCCACATCATGAGTAGACACGCCCCTTACTGCTGATTGGCTACAAGTTTGTTTTGCTAGTCGGCCCGAATCAGTTTTCTAAAGTGTTTTTGAAAAATCGCGTACCCCACCTTTAATTAATGAAATATGCTTAAACCTGTGCTTTTACACCTGTTAGGACTAAGCAGTGACTTTGAAATTTAGGAAATTGTAGGTTGTTCTCAAATTTTGATCTCCACTGTAGTTCTCTGGTGTTGGTTAATGGTCAGACAGGACATGCAGGTAAACAAATAAAATATTTCATCTTTTTTAGTACATTTTATTTTTGATTGGATTTATTTTTAAATTATTTTAAAAATAATCAATTATCAATTATTTGCTTTTCATCATCTCTCAACCCCCTGCAGTGCTATCACAATTGTCAGTTTGGGAAACCCTGATGCAATCCAATGTTTAATACACTTCATGTTATTGACAACAAAGAATGGAATATATTTTCTTTCTTTTTGTATTTTTATCAATATTGTACTAAACAGTGATAAATGAGTTAGGCCAAAAGTAATCTAAAAGTAATCAAAAAGTTGTTAGATTATATAACCTAAAATGCATAATCTAATACATTACATTAAATTTTTTGTGAAGTAATTTCTAATCAGTAATGAACTACAATATGCAAGTAATCTACTCAACACTGGCTATGATTAAAAATCTGCGTAAGCACCTTCTTGTGGTAAAAAATAATGCATGTGACTTCAATGTTACTTTTGCAGTGTAAAGAGAAACAGACAATGCACACACTTTTAAATGAAAAAGTAGCATAATGTTTTGTTTGGAGTTATGCAATAATGTAACATGTTATATTTAAGTAATATTCCCCAACACCTTGTATGGTGCGTTGATATACCACATGCGGTAAAAAAAGATATCTCTGCACAGACTAAAACAATTTTACATAAAATGTAAATAAATAAGAAAAAAGAAGCACTTGATAATGCTAAGCACTTTCTCACCTCATTGACATCAATGCCATTATTCACAGACCAGGTGGTCTGGAAATATTAAAGGAACTGCTTTACTTGTTTCGCTGTGTGACAGGGGGCATTGTTCTTCATGAAAGCAGGGAAGGAACTGCATGTTGCCATAGGAGGTTCTGATAAACATTTGCATTTACTCTGCCATGTAGCTGTATAAGAGGCCCAACTCCTGCTGCAGAAAACATCCCCCAAACCATGACACTTTCTCCTCCACTGTTCACTGACTTCTTTTCGCACTTTGGGTTCAGTCTTTCCCCAGTTTGATAACAAACATAATGTTTCCCATCAAACCCAAATAAATTAAACTTGCTTTCATCACTGAAGTGAACTTTGGACCAGTTCTCCTCTCTCCACACTCCTCAGCAAAGGTTAGTCTAGCCTTTTGATTCTTTCTGCTGATGAGAGGGAGTGGGCTTTCCGTCCAAATTCTCTTAAATGTCGAGACAGATCCTTACCCTGTTCAGTGCTGAACTGGTGAGCAATTCCAGCTGCAGTGTTGAACTGTTAATTAAGGAAATTAGCTTTGTCACGTCCAGTGTACTAGACAGACTTTAGCTGTTGCGAAGCAGACACGGTGTTACTCACCTATCGAGAAGAAACAAAGCAACCTCGTCGTCCGATCACAGGCCTTCCGCTCCTTGAGTTCTCTCCAGGGCTGGAAAGCTGATCCGATATTTACACGGGTCCTACTTCTTGCCTTATTGTCTTAAGCCCTCTTTTGTTCCACAGACAGACTGTCTCTCGGTTCAGCTAATGTCCATCATGTGCACTGAAAGCTCTCTCCTCCACATCATGAGTAGACACGCCCCTTACTGCTGATTGGCTACAAGTTTGTTTTGCTAGTCGGCCCGAATCAGTTTTCTAAAGTGTTTTTGAAAAATCGCGTACCCCACCTTTAATTAATGAAATATGCTTAAACCTGTGCTTTTACACCTGTTAGGACTAAGCAGTGACTTTGAAATTTAGGAAATTGTAGGTTGTTCTCAAATTTTGATCTCCACTGTAGTTCTCTGGTGTTGGTTAATGGTCAGACAGGACATGCAGGTAAACAAATAAAATATTTCATCTTTTTTAGTACATTTTATTTTTGATTGGATTTATTTTTAAATTATTTTAAAAATAATCAATTATCAATTATTTGCTTTTCATCATCTCTCAACCCCCTGCAGTGCTATCACAATTGTCAGTTTGGGAAACCCTGATGCAATCCAATGTTTAATACACTTCATGTTATTGACAACAAAGAATGGAATATATTTTCTTTCTTTTTGTATTTTTATCAATATTGTACTAAACAGTGATAAATGAGTTAGGCCAAAAGTAATCTAAAAGTAATCAAAAAGTTGTTAGATTATATAACCTAAAATGCATAATCTAATACATTACATTAAATTTTTTGTGAAGTAATTTCTAATCAGTAATGAACTACAATATGCAAGTAATCTACTCAACACTGGCTATGATTAAAAATCTGCGTAAGCACCTTCTTGTGGTAAAAAATAATGCATGTGACTTCAATGTTACTTTTGCAGTGTAAAGAGAAACAGACAATGCACACACTTTTAAATGAAAAAGTAGCATAATGTTTTGTTTGGAGTTATGCAATAATGTAACATGTTATATTTAAGTAATATTCCCCAACACCTTGTATGGTGCGTTGATATACCACATGCGGTAAAAAAAGATATCTCTGCACAGACTAAAACAATTTTACATAAAATGTAAATAAATAAGAAAAAAGAAGCACTTGATAATGCTAAGCACTTTCTCACCTCATTGACATCAATGCCATTATTCACAGACCAGGTGGTCTGGAAATATTCCAGCATGCGTTGTTTTAGCTGCTGTGGCAGCCGGTGAACACGAATGAAGTCCTTCAGATCTTTCATGCGCGTGTGATATAGTGAGCGACGTGAGTACATGCGCTGGATGATGGCTGTTACATTCCCAAACACCACAGCGTGCATGAGAGCTGTGCAAGAGAAACAACCAATCTGATTCACAATCTAACAAACTAGAAATAAGGGTTATAAACAGGCAGGCTAATGTTAAAAAATTAATGTTAAACACGTAAACGTACAGTACAATGAAAAAAGTCCATGAACTTGTTTGTGACTGTTATTATAAAGTCTGAGGTTCTGACTCATTTGTGAGTGGTTTGTTCACATGGTGAGAATTATTGCTTTGTTATCTGTTTTCAGGTTGTGGGGAAAATCGAATCTACATTTTCTGAGACATTAGCAGAGATGTTTGTGTTGCCCATCATAGAAGATGATGTTAACTATGTTAATTATTTATAGAAAAGTTGTTCATTTCGGGATTTTTTTAAATTCTTCTTTCTGTCCAGATTTCAAATCTACATTGTGTCGGTGTCACAGAATGTGACATTTTGAAGCACTGTAGTGATTTGATGACATGCCTGTGTCACATAACTATTCATGAGTCTCCTTATCCTACAAGAAGACACTGTTTTGAAATTTTGTCATTTCATCTGAATATCAAGATATGTGAGATTTAGTCAATGGAAACAAAAAATGAAGAAAATAAAACCATTTGTAGCGTTTGATTTTTTTAAATTTGTGTTTGAGGTTTGGCAGCTGTGTTAAAAATTTTGGGACAATGGGCCAAAGATTCAGTAAACATGTAAATAATTGGGGAAAACTGTAAAATTGTGTTTAATGAATGTGTGACATTTTTCATGTTGTGTGTGTGTTTTCATGTTTTGTCTATAGAGTTTTGAAAAAAGGAGCTATATTTTTTTTTAGAAATTGTGCGTAAGCTATTATCAAAAACGTTTAAAATGCAGCAGCACATCGTGAAAAAAATCTATTTGTCTAGAATACTGTGGAAGTTACTGCTTACCCCCAATGAGCATAGTACAAACAGAGAAAATCTTCTCAGCATCAGTGTTGGCACAAACGTTGCCGAAGCCCACACTGGTCAGACTGCTCAAGGTGAAATACAGAGAGGCGATGTAGGCACTGCGAACCGAAGGACCACCAACCGTACTGTTGAAATAGGGCTTGTCCAAACGCCTGCCCAGCTCATATAGCCAGCCTGACAGAAAAAAAGAAACATCTTATATTGTCAAATATAAATACAGTCTGCTTTTAATACAAATAGTTACTTTTTAAGGGTGTTCACTCTTAAAAAATAAATAAATATATATATATATATATATTTTTTTTTTTTTAAAGAACCAACTAAGACCTCTTTCAGTGAACAAAAAATTTAAAGAGATAAAGTCTTAGTATTCAAAAATTGTAAATTATGATGATAAAATTTTATAATAATTATAATTTACTGTACAGTACAATAGTAAAATTATAATACTAATATTTACACTACTGTTCAAAAGTTAGATTTTTTTATGTTTTTTTGTCTTATGCTCATCAAAACTGCACTTATTTGTTTTTTAAATGTATTCAAAAGCGAAATCTTTTGTAGCAAGTTTGGGGTCAGTACATTTAAAAAAAATTATTAATACTTTTATTCAGCGAGGATATGGTAAATTAATAAGTTATATTAAAGACTTACATTGTTACAAAAGATTTAGATTTTTAATATATGCTGGTCTTTTTAACTTTTTATTTATCAAAGAATCTTGAAAAAAAGTATCACAGGTTCTAAAAAATGTTAAGCAGCACAACTGTTTCCAACATGATAATAAATTAGTATTTTAGAATGATTTCTGAAGGACCATGTGACACTGAAGCCTGGAGCAATGGCTGATGAAAATTCAGCTACGCCACCACATTAATAAATTATGTTATTTTATTAAATTTTAATACATTAAATCATAATATAAACATATATTAAAATAGAAAATCTTTATTTTAAATTGTAATATTGTTTTACAATTTTACTGTTTATACTGTATTTTTGATCAAATAAATGCAGCCTTGATGAGCGTAAGAGACTTATTAAAAAAAAAACATTAAAAACCTTACTGATCCCAAACTTTTGAATGGTATTATATATTTACAAATATTTATTTCTTCATTTTCAACATGAAACTATCAAACTTCTATTTTAGTGCATGGAGATTCTTTGTTTAATTGACATCAAAGTATATACAGTATATATATATATATATATATATATATATATATATATATATATATATATAT